GGGCGGGGCGGGGGGGGGGCGCGCGGGGAAGCGGGCAGGGGGGCTTCCACGGAGGCCCGTGCCGGGCATCCGAGAGGGAGGGAGAGGTGCCCGGGGAAGGTGCTCGGGGTGGAAATAAATCCGCAAGGCGGGGGGATCTGGGCGTCAGTAGTGGGAGTCGACATTTGCGGAGGGTGGGGGGAGCGCCACGCTGTGGCTTTCTCAATTTTCAGTTATTAAATGTTGATTAAAATTCTTACATGTGCCTGTAAAGGTGTTCCGTTCTCACGCCAAGAACCGTGCCTGTAGCAGCCTTTTCTACAGCTGGACATTAACACCCAAGCTTGTGTGTTTGTCTTAAGTGTGGTGTCAGTACCCGAGGTGTGTGTGTGTGTGTGTGTGTGTGTGTGTGTGTGTATCTGCAGAGCCACGGGATAAATCCGGTACTTATTTTGGGGAGATTTCGTTTCACTCACTGCTAAAAAACGTTAAATATCACTTTTAGTATCACTTTTAGAATGAAGCACAAATATATGTATGGAGGTGACTACAGCATATGTATTAATGCTCCAGGTAAGAAACAGATGCCAAACGGGTTATATTTAGCAGTGCCTTGGGTGATGAGCTTGGATTGTGGACTTGAGTCTCCTCCATGGGGACCTTAGAGTGGAAGGGTTACTGGGGCACTGCCCTAGGCTGGTTGTAACAAATGTGAAAGTCGTCTGAGGTTGTCATAATTTGTCTTTCGTCACGGATCAAGTTGTGTTTTCTGAGACAGTATGTACCACGATAGAGGGGTCTGTTCAGTGACTGCATGAGGCCGTCCTTGGCATTTTGAGTTGTTTGCAGTATATATATAATTCACACACAGCTTACAGCTAGAGTGAGGTGCAGCTTCACGTGGGGAAATGGGTTTCACGGCTGTATTTTAGGGCAGAGACAAACCTGATAAGGTGCATAATGTGGCCAGAGTTTGACTGGGAGGACAGAGATAAAGGAAGGAGTCACCACATTCTTTGATTTTGTGGAAGGACTGGATTTGGCAGAGGTTGTAAACAGAAGGTGGAAGATCTGAAAATGAGCATTTTTGAGTCTGTACCTCAGTGCTAGAAAGAAAAAAGCCCAGAGGGCAGAGATGAAGAAGGGTATTAAATCTGAAGTAGGACTGCATTGTTTAAAGTTTGGAAAGACAAGTCACAGAAAAAAAGGTGTGCTTGAAGGGCATCTGCCAAAAGGTGATCAGTGCAGTGATTTGGGTGAAAAGTGCTAATAAAAGTAACAAAGGCAGAACCACAGAGGGAAGTTTGAAGGGGTGCTAAGAGAAGCA